CACGTTTTGGTCGTACGGTGGTCCTTCCTTCTAAACTAGCGTTTTACAATCAGTGAGGCGTACATTTCGAGCATTCGCTTGCCCACTCACGCTCTAGGGAGAGAGTCCTGTAGTGTTCATAGCTTTTTCATTTATTTGCGCTTTTCTCATTTCGCTTTTTATATGCGTCTTGTACAGTTGTTTTAATTCACCGTTTATAATATACATAAGTCTCGACCTCGAACGGCGCGTTCTGCTTTCCTGCGGCGGCGTGTTGCGATTGCATTGTTGGTGTGCTTGGAAAGTCTGTGCTTCGCGGAACCAACACTGGAATATCGTATCAGGGAGTGTGCAATATCAGTGGTTAATCCAACCGTCACTACTGAAGGTCAGCGTGTTGATACTTTTATCTGACATTAATCCTTTCCTTCTGGTGCAGTAGTGTAAGACTAGTTTCCACTCCACTACAACGGTTTATCCTCTAGATAATCCATAGAAAAAAGCAGATAGAAAATATAGTATGTGGGAAAACGATGTGATCACAAGTAATGAATAATAAAACCACCAGAACGAGGTCACCAGCATGAAAATGCCAAACGATGGGCTCCATGTTCCTGACAGAGGTTCACCAATTATTTGGCGGAGCTTGGGATGCTAGTCGGTAAGCAATGACACGTAAGGCGTTTCAAATACGACAGTATAGAAGTAAGAGGCAAACGAACTCAGAGCATATTGTGCAGACTACAATAATGGGAATCGAGGCAACCAAACGAGAAACGTGCAGGGAGGTACTCACCAAAACGGTTTGTGTCAACGGGAGTGTAGTCAGGAAAACAAGTAAACGTATCGAAGGCTAAAACAACCGTTAAATCCATAGTCGCAAAATACTGAAAGAGCTTGTTTTGCGGTACAGTACAGCGCTCCAACGGTCACTCTAACCGGCATTTGATAGACGTATTTTGCTGGCGTAATCTCAGCCATCGTGTAGCGTATTCATTATGTAGTAAGCTTACTAGCCGACGTGAAAAATTGGGTCAGTTTGCAGTCGAAAGCAATTATCGATGCTTGAAAGAATTTCCAGCAAAACCAATGTTTCAGCGATACTCCATTGTCAACCTTTTGGATATTAACTTCAAGCAATCTGTACTGTTCTAATGGCCAGCTCGTGAATAGCAACCTTCCTGACGAACGGCCAACCCCATGGGGAACAACCAATATTGGTATCATACCTTCTGATACTAGTATAGGGCGTTGGTCGTGCGCTACACATCCGGTTCTAGACTAAACGTCCAACCAAAAACAGTGGGTAGAACACACAAGAGTAAGCTAGGGAAGAAGTTTATCGGACGGTTGCAGCGTTAGCTAATGCTAAAAATAGGGCACCCGGAGAGAGCGAGCTAGAGAGAATGTCCTTGGCGTCGAGTGCGTTGACAGACCGTCGTTCGCAGTCGAGTCGCGCGCCAAAGGCGGAGATTGTGTTTGTTTCCAACAACGGGGAGCAACGTTCCAACAGGCAAACCGAATATTTCCCTAATACATAAGAAAGCTATAATTTGAATATCTTTTAGAATAGTTTACACAAGCATACAGGGGAATCTCCAGGTCACTTTGTAGAATGCAGACAAGGGAGAACCACAAGGATTGAGACGTAAGTTCTATTACGCAACACGTAGGCTCTATAAGAAAGAATCAGTAACGTAGGAAGGGATGAAAGAAAAGTTACAGTCAACTGTTCGCTTCAGGTTTCTGTCCTTCTTCAATAATGGCGCAGGAGTGTCTTTCTGAAATGCAGACAGAAAAGTTGTCGTCAGAGCAACGATTTAAATTCAACCACGCGCCGAACTAGTTTCGATCACTCTTTACACTGCACCCCTTCTATATAGGCAACGTCCCCGTTGCCACACCAAAGCCCCCTTGAGCTGGTACTTCAACTTCGGTGGCTACTTCTATCGGTGGCTCATTGTGATGTTCCTCATCCGAATGCTCAGATTCGATATGGAAAGGTTTAAGCCGATTAAAGTGTACGACCATGGACGGCCCAACGGCGTTCTTTGGGTCCCTAACCACACAAGTCAGATCAGAAATTATTCGGTCTACCACGTAGGGGCCAGCCCACTCACGATGCAGTTTCGCTGGTATTCCGGATACCGGTGCCTGATGCAAATATACGAGGTCGCCTGCTTTCAACGGGACACCGAAGACCTTCTTGTCGTAGTATTCCTTCTGTCGCCGTTGAGCGTTCGCCAAATGGATGCGTGCCGCTTCGTGTGTGCATCGAACGGAGTCGAGGAGTTTGCTGACATATTCGACAACCGACGGGTATACCTGTTGTGATCTCGGTAATCGGACATCCGAGGGCAACCGAACTTCTCTACCCGTCCACATAAACGACGGCGTTTGTCCGGTAGAAGAGTGGACCGTACTGCGATAGGCCAATAAGCATTTAGGCAATAACGTATCCCACTCGTAAATGTTCTGGTCCACGAACGCCTTCAAGAGTGACTTCAACGACCTATTCGTACGTTCAACTTGTCCGTTCCCTTGTGGATGGTAGGCCGTCGTTCGCGTTTTATCAATACCGAGTACTCTGCACATCTCCTGGACCAGTGAGCTTTCGAAACATGATCCCCTATCGGAATGCAATTGCCCAGGCGCTCCCCATTGGCAAACCCAGTGGTTAATCATCGCTGTTGCCACAGTGAGAGTATCAGCCTGTGTGATTGGCACGGCTTCGCACCATTTGGTGAAGTAGTCTACCATGACTAGAATGTAGCGATTCCCTCTCGGCGTTTCCGGTAGTGGACCAACAAGGTCTACTCCAACTATTTCATTCGGGTAACCTGCTGTCATGGATTGTAATGGTGCCCTATGAGCAATAGGCGGATTTTTGAACGTCGCGCATCTTTCGCAAGTTTGGCAGAAGTTGACAATGTCTCTTCGTTGGTGCGTCCACCAAAATCGTTGACGCGCCGCCGATTCGAGTTTATTGATTCCAGCGTGTCCCAGCTGTTGGTGCAGTTCCGACAGCACTTCGGTAACTAACGCCTGGGGAACAACAATCCTCCTCAGGTACGTGGGGCCGAAATCGAAGACCAACACACCCTCTTCGATGGCGAGTTTATCCCACATCGCCCACAAGCACCGAGCTTCGTAGCTTTTCCCTTCCATTTCTTTCGGAGCTGGTTTGTCCCTTCCCGAGCGCCGCGCATGGTAGATGAGTGATATGTCGGGGTCCGAAGCCTGTGCCTCTTGCCAACGACCATACTCGGCTTTCTGTAGGTTGACTAGCGCTACGTGTTGCGTAATGCAGGAAGGACAGTTTCCGTGATCTCGAGACGGAATCCTCGATAGCGCGTCCGCGTTGCCGTGTAGTTTCCCAGGCCGATGGTGACATTCGAACTCATACTCCTGTAGTTGCTCCTGCCATCGAGCAATCTGCTCCTCAGGGTCCCCGAAGTTTTGCAACCACCTGAGTGATTGGTGATCAGTCCGTACTAAGAATTTTCTTCCTAGAAGGTAGTGTCGATTTTGTTTTATGAAAAACACCAACGCCAACATTTCTTTCCTTGTCGTACAGTAATTTCTTTCTCTTGACGTAAGGCTTCTACTACTGTACGACACCACTCGTTCTATTCCGTCCTGCCCCTTCTGTGAGAAAACAGCTCCAATCGCCTGGTCGCTCGCGTCCGTGTCTAGAATAAACTCCCCAGCATTTGGTGACAGATCGGGGAAAACCAACACCGGAGCTTCACAAAGGGATTCTCGTAATCGATCGAAAGAATTTCGACACTCAACGGTCCATTCGAAGGTTTTACCTTTCTGTAACAAGGTATTCAAAGGCGCAGCGATCTCTGAGAACCCTTTCACGAATCGCCGATAGTATGAGGCTAACCCTAGAAAACTGCGTAGTTCATCAACGTTGGCCGGGGTTGGCCATAATCTCACTTGCTCCGTCTTACGTGGGTCAGTACGAATCCCCATCCCCGAAATGACGTGCCCAAGATACGTTACCTCGGTCTGTAGTAAATGGCACTTTGTGGGCTGGAGTTTGAGGCCCACATTTACTAGGCGTGTTAGCACCTCCGCCAAGTTGTTTAGGTGTTCGTCTTTTGTTTTTCCGTGTACAATGACATCGTCCAGGTAAACGAGACACTTGTGGGGCATCAATTCGTGTAAAACTTTCTGCATCAGTCGTTGAAAAGTCGCAGGGGCGTTAGAGAGGCCAAAAGGCATGGTCTGGAACTCATAAAAACCTGATGGTACTACAAACGCCGTCTTCGCTCTGTCGCTCTCCTCCACTTCTACTTGCCAGTAGCCGGAAGCCAAATCTAGCGTACTGAAATAAACTGATCCTCCTAGTGCGTCAAATAGATCATCGATCCTGGGAAGGGGAAAAGCGTCTTTTCGAGTAATCTCATTTAATCGTCTATAGTCGACACATAGGCGGAAACCACCATCCTTCTTTTTCACTAGAACAACCGGGGCTGCCCATGGTGAAGTCGAGGGCCGTATTACCTCCTTTTCTATCATGTCATCTATGAGCTTTTGCAATTCAGTCTGCCAATGTAATGGTATGCGTCTTGGGGGGATTTTAATCGGGATTGCATCCCCGGTGTCGATACGGTGTTTCACGAGATTGGTTCGACCCAAGTCGGTACTGCGCCATGCAAATGCGTCTGAGTGTTTGCGCAACACGTCTTTGAGCCGCTTCAGTGTCTGCTCATCCGTGACTCTGTCGAGTGAGCGAATAAAGGCGTTAATGTACTTTTCACTCTCTAAGGTGTCCTCATAGGTTGTAGATGCTTCCAAAGCACCACCTCCACAGGGTTTTAACAAAACTGTACAGTTATCGGTGATTAGTTGGCACCTGTCCAGATCTAATCGACACTTCAACCGGCGTAACAGATCCATCCCAACAATAACAGCAAACGGAATTTTGTCCGCAACGATAAACTCATGGGTGAAACTCTGTTTCGCGACGTCAACTTGTGCGGTTAGGGATCCCCGAACGGACAAGAAGTCTCCATTGGCGGCAGTTAGTCGACAGCGACAAGGCGCGTATACATGTTCTGCTAGCTGATTAGTCAAACTAGATCTGATTAGGCTCTTACATGCACCTGTGTCGATGAGACCTATCAATGGAACCCCTGCGATCTGTAATTCTATTGCTAACGCTGAATCTGTGGTCGACGCACAAACAATGGTTGGTATAGAGTGTGAATGCAATCGGTGCCACTCACCTGGGCGTCCGTTATTGTAGCGAGGTAGACCACGATTCGGAATTGGTCGGCGGGGCCGCCGGAAGTACGATTGCACTGGAGGTCGCGAATAATCCCCTCGAAACGGGACGCGATTCCAATTTCTTCGGTCTGGTGGTTGGAGTCTAGCGGGGCGGTGTCGATTCAGTACGCAGCATGTTTCCAGGGGGCCCATGGACTCGTCGACTTGCTCTAATTGGTCTGCCACTTTTAAGGCTGACTGAAGACACGTAGGTCGTCGTAACCGGAACTCTCTTTTTACCGAGGGCGTCTGGATGCCCTCGAGCAACTGCTCTAACACTCGCTTGTCCTGTTGTTCCGGCGGTTCATCTGTGTAGGCATTTATCGCCATCCTCCGCAACTCGCGAACGAATGTTTCTACGTCTTCTCCCGGTCTCTGATACCGGGCATGGAAAACTCTGCGCAGTTCATCGGGCAGGCCACGCCGATCTAAGATGCGACGAAGGGCAGAGAAGGTTTCCGTAGTGACTTCTCCCTCTAACACTTTGCTATCCGTAACTTTGTCGAATGCCTCTCCTGCCAGCAGGCCCATGATCACCGTACCCCATTGTTGTGCTGGAAAATGCTTGACATACATTTGCACCTGTTTCTCCCATCGGAGATATGGCATGCCTGGAGAAAACCTTTCTGGAGGGGGTAACGGGGGTGTGGAAGGGGCGGGTGTCCGATTTGTTGTCATCTTCTGCATAGTGTCCGACAGGGATTCCAAAGCGGAAGCAATCCTTACCCCCGGATCGGAGGTCACCGGCTGAATTTCACCACCAGACAGTTTACCTGGTTTTGCCATTATCTCTGGATCCTGGCAGGGTCGCCAATTGTAGAATGCAGACAAGGGAGAACCACAAGGATTGAGACGTAAGTTCTATTACGCAACACGTAGGCTCTATAAGAAAGAATCAGTAACGTAGGAAGGGATGAAAGAAAAGTTACAGTCAACTGTTCGCTTCAGGTTTCTGTCCTTCTTCAATAATGGCGCAGGAGTGTCTTTCTGAAATGCAGACAGAAAAGTTGTCGTCAGAGCAACGATTTAAATTCAACCACGCGCCGAACTAGTTTCGATCACTCTTTACAACTTCACTAGGAGTCGAAGGTCATGAGGCGACCTATAAATGTTATCATGGCCTGACAATTCTGTATAGGTCCTCTTCGATCCTGGTTGACACGCAATTCTATTTGACGCTGTTCTGGCTCTTCCGTTGTTTGTTTTGACTTTATACGAAAAAGCTTAAGTGCGTGTTTCATAGTTGAGGTAAGTAAGAGGTTTTAATAACACCAAAGCAGAATTATTCTTGCCCTTATATAAAGCTGTGGTCAGGCCACATCTGGAGTCTTGTGTTCAGGCCTGGTCACCATTCCTCCGGAGTGACATCATTTGTATAGAAAAGATTCAGAAACTTGCGACCAGGATGATTGAAGGTCAACGAGGGAAGTCTTATGAAGATCGTCTAACTAGCTTAGGATTATTTTCCTTGGAACGGCGTAGGTTGAGAAGGGATTTGATAGAGACGTTTAAGATCATTAAGGGACTTAGTGGTATTAGTTCCACCCGTCTGTTTGAGTTAGCTACGTCAGACCATCTGCGCGGGCATCGCCTGAAGCTGAAACATCACAGAGCTCGTTTGGACATCAGGGCAAAATTTTTACGAACCGAGTAGTTAACTACTGGAATAAACCTCCTTCTGATTTAGTGGAGTCTGAGACCGCAGTAGCCTTCAAAAGGGGCTTAGACAATTGTTGGTCCATCCTTTATCCAGAGCTATTGTAGTTGTGCTGGTATATGTAGTGTATTTTGATGCTGGCATATGAAAGTGCAGAGATTGCTCTTATTCTTGCTTCGTTCCATTGCAGAAGCAAGAAGAGACAATCCAACGTTGAAGTGCCGGGGGCCGCTTCACTTACCGGCAAAGAACTGGACGCTCGTTAGGCGGTAGCCTCTATCGTCCATCTGACCCGAACTGACCTGAAATAGCGATGGATAAAACTGGAACTGTAATGAACTTTTAAGTTGGACAATTTCAGAAGCTACTTTCGCAACGGTAGCCTCAAATGGTAGCCAAAATAGAAAGGATTGAAACTTTGACGAAATGTTTGAGTTTGCATTTTACAGCAGCACGGGAAACACAGGCAAATTCTGTTGCTCTACTTACTATTTCAGTCAGTGAAGTTAATTAGGACGCAGATTCCAGTTGGTTTTAAAGCATAATTCAAACGCTGGGAAGAAATGTTTCTGGCGGGGTTTGCAGCCGTCAGCATGCCCACTGAAAAGTGCGTTTGTTACTTTGCAAGCTCTGCACCAGCAATCATGTAAGGTTCAGCGACCATAATCTGCCGAACCGACCAAAAGACCCGCTTTTCGACGAAGCCGTGTCACAGCAGTAAATTATTTGTGGAAGCTTCTCAGTGCCTAAGGTTGCGAAACAGGAAACAAACGACTACGGGGTGCTAGCTGACGTGGTTAACCGCGAGTGTGAGTATTTCAGCCTGCGATCTTTTACGGTCGCCTAATTTTATTGTCTTATTTTGGTCAGTGTTCTGCAGGCTCCCTATGATGCTGACATCTGCACAAGGCTTCTTGTTAAGCTTCACCAAGACCCAGGTTTGACACTAAAGGCTCTGGTTGGCGAATGCAGGCAGTTGCTCACTTTGAAGCACATTCCGTCCTTAGCAAACAGCGTCGCACTGCACCAACCGATGCTGTGCACGCAGTGGAAAATCCCAGGAAATTTGGTCGAAGCCAGCGGTTCAAGAGGGACTCAAACCAGCCACCTACAGCCTAATGGGCTCGCGGCGAATGGCATGTTGCTCTGTTTTGCCCTCTTAAACGTCGCATCTACGAACAGTGACGTAAGCGTGGTCATAAAAGTGGTTTCATCTGTTAGGCTTGTTTGAAAAACAGAATTTCCACCCTTTGAAGGACACTAGAAAGCATGCTGCAGAACCGCTTTCCGTAGTTGTCGCATTGGAAAATGAACCATAGCCAAGACGGTGATATAGCATCGCGCTAATCAACGGTATTCCAACAAAGCTACAATTTGACAAGTCCTCAGACATCACAACCATTTCCAGGAACACTTGGAATCACATGCAGAGGCGAACAAGGAGCACGTTTCACAGAATAGCTAACAGGGCATCCGTAGGTGTGCTCAATTTAATCACAGAAATTACTTGCACAATGGCACTCAACGGTGTGGAAGAAACAGGGGCGGTTTACAGGTTAGATAGGGCTAAGTTGAATTTTCTTAGGCTAGACTGGTTTGAACAGTGCCGACTGCTCTACTCTCCATTGAGTCAGCTTTTCAATAGAAATCGAGCGCACCCAGTTACATCAATGAACTCAGTCAAAGTGGTGACGCGTTTGCTGAAGTAAAAATTTGACTCTGTGTTTCAGGATGGCCTGGGCCATTGCTCCAAATTCACAGCGACATTCGCTGCGTCCAGGAGTCAAGCCAGCCTTTAAAACTGAACGTCCGGTTCCACCTGCAGCGAAGCTAATCTTTCAGCAAGAGCGCGAGCGACTAGAACGTGCTGGCGTCATCACACCGGTAAACTACGCCTCTTGGGCCGCTCCTATTGTAACAGTAAAGTTAGCGAATGATAAAGTACGCGTCTGTGCAAGTTTCTCAGCTTGTCCTAACGATGCGCCCGACGACCACCAATCCTCATTGCCATTACCCAAGGATATTTACGCAAGATTGAATGGTGACAGGTGCTTTGTCAAGCTTGACCTGTCTAATGCATACCTTTATGTAAACATTGCCGAGCACTCGAAAAAGTATGGACGATCAACACCCACCGTGGGCTGTACCAGTACAACCGCTAGTTTTTTGACGTAAAATCGGCCCCAGCTATTTTTCACCAGCCGTTGGATACCATGCTGTCAGTAGTTTATGGAGTCGCCGCATGCCTGGATGACATTATCGTGCTGGGCCGGAGAACGGAGGAATTATTTGACCTCTTGGAGGAGGTGCTTAGTCGGATCCAGTCGCATGGTTTGCGAATTCGTAAATTCTATTGTACTTTCTTCGGTCTGACCATAAAATACTTTAGTTTTATCCTTGTAACGGATGGCCGTCGACCACGTCTGGCAAACCACGAGGCCATAATGAAGATGTTATTAACCGCCGATATTCAATCGCCACGTTCCTTCTGTGGTCTCATCAGCCACTACAGGACATTATCGCCTGAGTTGCATCGCCTGCCTGCCTTCCTTAACGGGTTTTTGTCCAAAGCCTACTACTGGAATTAGGCGCGTGAATGCCAGCGCAGCTTGGAACGATTCAGTTTGGTATTGATTTCTGACTTGTTGCTAACTCAGTACGATTTAACTCAGACCATTCTTGCCCTTGACGCACCAAATCACCGGACCGGGGCAGTTATTTCGCATTTGTACCCGGATGTATCCAGCAAGCGATCGGTCACGCAGCCGGGACATTGACAACAGCCAGGCAATCCTACTGGCTGAAGTGATAGGAGGTAACAGCTATTATCTTTGGAGTGAAGAACTTTCATAAGATGCTATATGGTCGCCGATTCAAACTGCTGACGGATCGCCAACCATTGGTCATCATCGGCTAGAAGAAAGGCACACCTGCCCACACGGCTAACCGCCTTCAAAGCTGAGCGCTCTCTGCTGAGCTACGGTTATGAGCTTACCTGCCAAACAATCGCGTTCATGTGCCAAGCGGACACTTGGTCAAACGTTATAGACTCCCATCATCAATCCGAAGAAGACAAAAGCATTCCCGCAGTTGAGCTAGTACCGGACGTCAGCATCCTTGGCATTGACGCATTACATGACCTACCATTGACTGCAGAGGCTGTACGAGCAGAACTCATTCGTGACCCTATACTCCAGGTGGTCGCACAGTTTAGCTGGACGAGTTGACCCCACACATGTTCAGCAGCCGATTTGCAGCAGTACTACCAAGAGGCATACAGTCTCCATCATTGACATCTACCTTTATTCTCGAAACGAGTTGTAATCCCTAATCACTGCAAAAGCTCGAATTTAGACATTTCCATGCAAGACATCCAGGAGTCAATCGAAAGAAAGCGCTTGTTCGAAGCCGTGTGTATTGGCTATTCATGGACAGATAACTGTAAGAAATAGCTAAAAGATGTTACAAGTGCGCTGTGGCTTCAACGGCATCGGTAAAGATGGAATTCCGTTAACGCCCGGAACTAACGCGCCCATGGTGCCACGTACTGGTCGATTTCACAGGACCAGTCAGTGACCAGGGTTTTCACCTTGCTGTCGACTCTTACAGTAAATGGCCTACAGTGTTCCTGATGAACAGCACATAGACCCAAGCAATCGTAACAAAAATACGGCACACCTTCGACATATTCGGTTGTCCAGAAACACTAGTAACTGATAACGGTGCACAGTTAACCTCAGCATTTTGCCCGGAGTTCTGTAGACAATACGCCGTCCAGCACATCCGTTCACCGCCGTTTCACCCACAATCGAATGGTCAGTCAGAGAGCTTCGTAGATACTTTCAAGCGAACTTCCCACAAGGCACTGGTAAGGAGGACGTGCAGATAAGGTGATTGACTTCACTTACTTTACCGATGATCTTCCCTCTACACCGTTGATACTCGGTGGCCACGTCATTCAAGTTCTACTTCTCAACCTAATTACGCTTTCCATGATGAAAGGGATCTATCCAGCCGCATGGAAGCATGCAATCTTCTCCCCCAAACACAAAAATGCAGTCAGCTAAACATGGAAATCTAGCGCTTCACCAGGCACACGACTATTGCTTCAAGACTAATGGAACGAATAGTCGAAGAAACCATGCTCACCTTTCCGCTTACTCGCAACCTCAATCAACCACGACATGGATTCTTGCCGTCCAAGTCCTGTCAGACCTGCTAATTTGAGTTCCTCAACAATGTACCACAACAGATTGACAACAAGCAAGCACTAACCATCATCTTCCCGGACAGGACAAAAGCCTTTGACAGAGTACCACATGCAGAACTCTTGATGCAGCTGGAAGCATACGGTATCTCTGACGAACTGCACACATGCTTCTCATCATCTTGCTCACACTCAGAAATAATGGGGGACTTCAAACGACCTCCAAAACCAGTCAAAAGTGGCTTAATTTAAGGTAGCGTTTTAGGCCCACTACTATTCCTGCTCTATATCAATGACGTGTTCCAGGTTTTTAAATATGGAACACCCTACCTGTTTGCCGATGACATATAATTGTCTTCTCATTTCATCAGTCAAACTTGCACA